TTAATATTTGATTACTTGAAAAATATTTTATGTTTTATATTATAAAGTAATTAATTTATTCTTTTGTTTTTATATTTTGTTAATTATTTTTTATAAATATTTTATTTGAAATATTAAATAGAAATTATTAATGGAATAATTTATATTAATATTCTTATTATAATAATATAAATATTAATGTACATTAGTTGGCATCCTGTCGACATTATCGACATCTTGTCGACATAATAGGAAAAACTGCCTTTTTTTGGTTATTTGGACCGATTTGGTCGACATTTACGAAATATAGGAAATGTCGACCGAAATAATGTAATTTTTATATTACCACCCATTTTGATGTCGGTGAGACTCGACATCGACATATGTCGGGCGACATTAGCGACATTTCGCGACATTTGAAACCATGGTGCCCATAAATTGCTTCAAATAGTGTTCGTTTGATAGATCTATTTAAAGAATTGTTGTAGGCAAACTTAGCTTGGGGTATGACAGTATCCCATTTCATTACATGGTTGCCCACAAGACACCTCAGCATGTTTCCAAGACTTCTATTTACCACTTCTGTTTGCCCATTTGTCTGTGGGTTAGCTTTGTACCCAATTTTCTTCATAAAGTCCTCCAAAAGTGCCCCACAAACTACTCATCCCTATCCGATACAATAGAAGGAAGTCCATGCAATAGCACCACCTCTTTGAAGAACAATTCAGCTACGTGAGTAGCATCAGCTGTCTTTGAGCAAGGTATGAAATGCACCTTCTTGGAGAACCTGTCCACCACCACAAAAATTGAATCATGGCCCCTTGCTTTCTTAGGAAGTCCAAGCACAAAATCCATGCTTAAGTGTACCCACTGTGAATTTGGGACTGGCAAAGGTGTATACAGCCTTGTGCTTTCAGTATTTCTCTTTGCTAGTTGGCAAACTCTACATCTTTTCACCACCCATTCCACATCCTTGTGCATCTTAGGCCAAAAATAATGATCAGCCACCATATGTAAAGTTTTGTCCCTCCCAAAATGTCCTCCTAAACCTCCTCCGTGGAGCTCTCTAACAATCTCTTCGTGTAGAGACCCCTCAAGAGTGCATAATTGGTTACCTTTGAAAAGGTACCCATCATGGACAGCATATTGCAAGCTTCTTCCATTCGCTAGCCCTTCCAATTCCTTCATTATTTGGCTGAAAAATGGATCATTACCATGCTGGGTTTTCAACTCTTCTAATCCCAAGACTTTTGTACGTAACACATTCTACTATAGAACCCGCCGGCTAAGTGCATCAGCAACCTTATTTGACACTCCTGACTTATGTTTTAGTGAAAATGTGAATTCTTGTAAGTAGGAAACATGCTGTCATAACAAATGGGTTGTCACTGTGACACTCCTGACTTATGCACAGTGACACAGTTTGACAGAAACACCCCCACTTAAGTGACTCACATGATAGTCACATGACTCAACTTAAAAATAAAAGACTACGTTACTACCAAGCAACCATAAAGCCCGTATAAGTTACATAACTCCAGAAAATAAGAAAGCAATGCTGAATAGCTACTTAGCCCCCCTAAGAACCCAATTGCTAGCAGGCTTACATGTGGGCCCCACATGCTCCTGCATCAACAACCCAAATGATACATGGAATGAATGTTCCTTTATTCATAATAAATTATGTACAATACATCAATTGGAGCTGAGGGCATACACACTGTAACAGTTTATAAGAATTATAGTGACTAAATATCACATTATATACATTCTTCAACATTAGTTATGGGATGTTAGTGAACTTTGGAAAAATAGATGGTTGGTATTGAGATGAATACGCTGTATAATGCTTGTCGTTGGCTTTATAGATTGGTTGCTTCAATGTTTGATATGGTCAATGAGATTTCCCAAGTTTGGGAAACAAGTCGTCAGTGTGCATAATATATGGTGCTTTCCTTGTCTTCACTTTTTTTGAGAGAAAAGTTAAACTTTCATTAAAAGAAGGATGTACAAAATTCCAGTCAAACCAAAACCCAAAACCTAAAAAAGGAAACCTCCAAGGACTTACAAAAGTATTGAGGAGTTACTATGCAAAAAATCCCTCCCCACCCCAGATGTAGCCAAAAAATTAGTCACTTTATTCAGCTCTAGGAATCCATCTAAAATGACGAAAAATGAAGGAAAAAATTTCTTGTTTCATTAAAGATGAAGCTGAATCTCCAAGGTCCATCTTTTAAGTCCTTCATCCAACTGGTAACCATTTTCGAGTCTCCTTCCACCACCAATTCAGTTAAGTTCAGACTAACCACAACACTGGGTTGCTTCAGCATGCACCACCACCACCATTTTAGAGTCTCCTTCCACTCCTCCCAAATGCTCCACATTACAGTATGCACCACCACCTTCCCATACAATCAACTTCTGCTTCCCAACCTACAACCTGGCCATTGGTTGAGAAAATCTCCAACATACAGAGGTGGAGCCCAGGAGAAAATGCTGTTACAGAAGAGGTTGAGGAAAAATTGCCAGACTGTGAGCTACTTCGCAGTTGATAAGAAGATGACCAAAAGGTTCTCCTTCCTTTAGGCACAATTAGCACACATGAGGGGCAAGGTACAAATGATCCTTTCTCTTCCTCAAAATTCTATCAAAAGTATTAATGCCACCACGGACTGCCTTCCATATAAAGAAGCAAACTCTAGGAGCAACCATGGAAAGCCAAATTTTCTTAAACAGAAGAGTAGTCTGCAGAACCTGCCACCAAGCTGAAGAAAAAAAAAAAACTGTGAACTGCCCATTAGTAGAAGGCCACCAAATTCTTTTGTCGGGAAGATCTGGGGCAATAAAGACAGAGGAAAGGGAGAAAAGGAGGGAGGAGATGGATTGGGATTCAGAACTTGTCTTCACAGTTTGATTGCTTCCAGGAACTTAGGGTAAGAATGATTCTTAGTTGATGGTGTGAATCCTTCTCCCCATTATTAGATGAAGCAGAGATGTTGGGATGAAATCTTGATGTGGAAGAAATTTCTCAGAGTCTTCATTATTGTCTCGTTTTTTGTTATTAATCATAATTGTCTCTTTGGTTATTTTGAAGATTCTTCTGATCTTGTTAATTTTGTGGAGTTTGAACCTCCTTCCCCCCAAAAAATAAAAGCAAGAGAGATAGAAAGAAATGTTTGTTCCAGTACATAAACTTTAAATCAAGAGTTATGGGAGGATTTCATAAGAAGGAGCCACTATAGGGAACTCTAAAGATTATTTTTTTTGATCAGCAAAGGTGATTTTATTAAGAAAGATGAGATGAGAATTAGTACAGAAATCGAGTAGCCTCGGCTACCCCCCTTTAAAATTCCACCTAAGATTTTGCTTTACAGCCTTACAACTGAGTCCAAAAACAATGTTCCCTGTTAGCCCCTTGCTTCGCTAGCTGGTCCACAAACCCATTTGCTGCTCTTGGAGTCCACTGAAATAATAACTGCATGTCCTTGGTAATGTGATTAAGTTTCTTGATCTCATTTCTGAACACTCATGGAGTCTTTCCATTCTGCTTTAGCCAGCTTATAATTACTTTTGGAATCGCCTTCTACAACCAGCTTTCTCACACCTATTTCCATGGCTTTTTGTATTCCAAAGACCACTGCTTTTAGTTCAGCTGTAATGGAGTCTCCCCATTCAAGAGGGCCTGAATACAGCCCCACTACTTTCCCCATGTCATCTCTTGTGACTCCACCAATTCCAGCCACACTCTGGTTGCCAAAGCTGCTCCCATCAAAGTTTAATTTGAGGATTCAGGAGGATCCCAATTTCTTAACACCCTTTTTTGTTGATGACAAGGATGCTACAGTCCTCCAGTTCCTGATTATATCGTCAGCAGTAAAGTCTGGGAATAATCCCAAAGATTTTACCAATGAGATCACTTTTAACATAATCCCTTCTATCAGTAATTCCTTACACCTTTTCTTTCCTTTAAAAATTCTCAGATTTCTTTCCTCCCATAATATCCAAAGCACTGCTGCCCGTGTGCATCTCCACAGAGTTCTTCCTCTTCTTTTTGGCCACCTGAAAGTGGAGGCGTCAAACAGTATCTCCAAGCTCACTGGGGTATCCCACCTGCATCCAAAGAGAGAAAAGAACCATTCCCAAAAGCAGCTAGCAACAGAACAGGAAACAAAAATATGATGAGCAGTTTCACCATTTGATTCACACAAGTTGTTACTCATTGACAGTTATGCATAGACTCATTTGAAAATGGTTATATTGATTTCTGTCAATAATTTTGAATGTCACTTTTCTTTCATTTGCTGAGAAAATAAAAGATGAAGTTGACAAAGTCACTTAATTATTAATTCAATACATCATTATCAATTGAAGTCTGTATTTGGGTTTCTATATATTGGTTGAAATAAATAATACCTATTAATACTTTTGTTGTTTTAAGCTGATTGTTCATCCTAAGGTCATCGCTAATTAGAGATAACTTAACATGAAGGTACGCGGATGTGGAGAAGAGGTGCTGATTCAGATGGTTATGTTGCAAATTTTATGGAAAGTGAGCAGATTGTGCATGTGAATGGATTTACAGCATCATTTGTTCAGGTATCTTACAGCCTTATACAGACCATTTGAGGTTTCGATTTTATGAATCTTGGAATGATACAATATTTTGGCAGTGTATTAAATTGATTTGTGTTTCCACTCGCAGGTTCGAGGGTCTATACCCCTGCTATGGGAGCAAATTGTTGATTTGACATATAAGCCTAAGTTGGAGATCGTGCAATTTGAGAAGGCAGTGAGTATTTTCATATCCATATTCCTTACATATACCATCACCTGGCTGTTTCTTTTCTCCTTTCTTTTGCATAGACTTGTGTATACACTTCCTATTGTTTAAATTTTAATTTGGTCATGGTGCATAGCTAAGTTGCTAAATATTAACTCCTGTCAATTTACATTTATTTCAGCCTCGAGTAGTTGAGCGACACTTTTTGGATTTAAGAAAAAATTATGGGTGTGTCTTAGCTGTTGACCTTGTCAATAAGGTAAAGAGATGAATTTCTGGTTTTTGTGCTTGCTACAAATGTTTTTCTTTGCCCTCAATAATGCACTTTGTTTTATATTCTCTAGCTGTTTGTACATGATCACACGAATGTACATTACCAGTTTAATCCTATATCAAGTTATGCTTGTGGTTAAATGCATAACTATAAAAATATACCCCTGAATGTCCTAAGAAAAGGACATTCAAACTAGATTGTCTGAGGTGATTGTAGATGGTTTTAAAATCTAGTTGCTGGTAAGTGCTGTCCTCATGTTTTTACTGCAAGATTGTATTTGGGAGCCAGTATTCTATTGATTTCAATATTAATTTGTCAGTTTTTAAAACGTGATATCCTAATCATGATGGATTCCATGGTGTGAACATATATGCATGCTCGTACAAATGATATATGGCTTAATTGATAATTTGCTTTTGACATATTCTTCTCTGTCATTTATCTGTAATCAGCATGGAAGTGAGGGCCGGTTGAATGAAAAATATGCCAATACAATGCAACATGTTATAGGTGATGATATAAGGTAATTAATTGCCTTTAATGTATTGCTCACGTGTAATTTCCTTTTATTATTTTCTCCTATTCTAATTATGAAATTAACCAATTACTGTAGATACATGCATTTCGATTTTCATCAGATTTGTGGTCATATTCATTTTGAGCGCCTCTCTATCCTTTATGATCAAATTGAGGATTTTCTTAAGAAAAATCGGTATGCTTTCCTTTTCCATTTCCAAAATATAAGTATTCAATCTGGTTATTGATCAATGCTAAGTCAATGTTGATGGAAATTCTTATATGGTGATGAATTTTCTGGTTCTTTATTTTATTGCTTTTGTCATTACAAATTAATTTATTAAATAACAACATATTTCATGTGTCTAAGCATTTACCTATTACAAGCTGCTTACCCAGGATTTGTTTCAATGATGCATTATCACCGTCACTTGGTTGCTTATTGTTTATGATATATCAATGTCATGGCAGAAGTATCAACAACTTACTCTGGGGCTATCTATTTTTTAATTGTATTTTTTATCTGTGTTGCTTATTTGTGCTTGACATATTGATTAGTTTGATTGCAGATACTTGTATTGGCTCTTATTGAATAGCATGCTTGCATGTAGATTGAAATACCCTCTCTTATTATTAAAATTTAAGGTAGCTGGCGTTTCTGGTCACATATGACAACAATTCTAAGAGGAATAAAAAAAAGAAAGTGGATACAAAATAGCATTCTTTTCACAAAAATTATGATGTGCTACTTTTCTTTAGATTTTTTTTATAGGCAATTACTATATTGTATTTATTTTTTTGGTAATCAAAATAAGAAGACAAATTTTACTTAAAAAACAGAACACAAAGAAAGAGTATTGGTAGGACCCAATCTCAATACACCCCATCCTAGGGATTTGCCAAAATAGCTCTCGAGAAATTTGAGAAGAAGAAAAAAGAAGAGGAGAAAGGAAGAGAGATCCTAGAAAAAAATAAGGGGTGGGATGAGGAGGGAGAGGGGGGGGGGAGGGGCTGGACAAGAACAAGTGAAGAGGGAGTGGGAGATTTTGGGGGAGGGGGAGAGAGATGAAGATCCTCAGTTGGAATGCGAGAGCTTTGGGGGATGGAAGAAGAAGGGAGATTGTAAGAAACCTTAATAGAAAACAAAATCCAGATGTGGTGCTGCTGCAAGAAACAAAATTGAAAGTTTTGATGTAAAAATGAAAATAAACATTTTGGGTGAGGAGGGTGGAGAATGGGTGGATCTGAAAGCATCAGGTATTTCAGGATAATATTAATAATATGGAACCCAGGGGTTTTCAAAAAGGTGGGGGGTGGAAATTGGGAAATACTCGGTGTCAGTTTGTTTACAAGAAGCAAGCATGGAGTGGAGATGGGGTATTGCCGTATTACAAATGTTTATGGACCAAATGAGGAGGGAGAGAGAATGGAGTTTTGGGAGGAATTGGGGGAGCTGAGGCAGAGGTGAACTGGGCTGTGGTGTGGTGTGTGGGAGGGGATTTTAATATAGTGAGGAGAAGTGAAATGAAGGGGGGAAGGGAAAGCAGGACATCTGTAGGGATAAGAAGGTTTGAGGAATTCATAAGCAACAATGAACTGATAGACCCACCCTTGAACGGAGGTAGGTTGACTTGGTCAAATGGTCAAATTCCAGCCATCCTAAGAAGAATAGACCAATTCCTTTACTCAGGAGACTGGGTGGAACATGTTGGGGAAGTAATCCAAGAGCCTATGGCTCTCTAGATGTCAAATCACAAGCCCATGATGTTAAGGAAATTCGCTGCTGTAACAGGTTTCAGACCATTCAGATTTGAAAATGGTTGGCTACTGCAACTGGGTTTCGTAGAATGGGCAGAAGGCAAGTGGAAAGAAGTGTAGGTGTGAAAGTGATAAAAAAATTACAGGCCATTAAGGAAGGACTGAGGGAGAGAAGGAAGGAGACATTTGGAGGGGTAGAATGTAGAAAAAAGGAGATTTTGGAAAAACTRGCTAGACTGGAYAGAATTAGAGAGGAAGGTGAATTCAAGAGAGAAGTTCAAATTGAGATGGYGGCTTTGGAGTTAGAGCTGGAAAGTGCAGAAGGCAAGTGGAGGGAAGTGCAGGTGTGAAAGTGATCAAAAAATTACAGGCCATTAAGGAAGGACTGAGGGAGAGAAGGAAGGAGACATTTGGAGGGGTAGAATGTAGAAAAAAGGAGATTTTGGAAAAACTGGCTAGACTGGATAGAATTAGAGAGTAAGGTGAATTCAAGAGAGAAGTTCAAATTGAGATGGCGGCTTTGGAGTTAGAGCTGGAAAGTGCAGAAGGCAAGTGGAGGGAAGTGCAGGTGTGAAAGTGATMAAAAAATTACAGGCCATTAAGGAAGGACTGAGGGAGAGAAGGAAGGAGACATTTGGAGGGGTAGAATGTAGAAAAAAGGAGATTTTGGAAAAACTGGCTAGACTGGATAGAATTAGAGAGTAAGGTGAATTCAAGAGAGAAGTTCAAATTGAGATGGCAGCTTTGGAGTTAGAGCTGGAAAGCCTAATCTTGAGGGAGGAAGTAAGGTGGAGGCAGAACTCAAGAGCTTTATGGTTAAAAGAAGGATACAAGAACACTCTATTTTTCCATGTCTTTACAAATGGAAGAATAGGAAAAACAGGATTACTAGGGTGCAAGTGGAGGAGGAGGTGGTGGAGACATGGGGGGAAATTCAAGAAAAGTTGGTGTCCTATTACAAGAGGTTGTATACAGGAAGAAATTGGTGCTGGGTGTCATTGGGAGATTTAGAGCCAAGTCAGATAAGTGACAGTTCAGCAATCTGGTTAGAGAGGGCTCTTGAAATGGCAGAGGTAAAGGAGGTGTTGAAGAAGATGAATGGCGATAAAGCACCTGGTCCAGATGGATTCAACTTCAACTTCATCAAGAGTTGCTTGTACTTCTTGCAAGAGGGCTTTATGCAGTTATACAAAGATTTATGGGAATCTAAAAGTTTAGACAAAAGAGTAAATGCAACATTTATAGCCTTAATCCAGAAAAAGAGTGGAGCAGTGCACATAAAAGATTTTGGGCCAATAAGCTTGATAAACAGTCCCTACAAGCTTTTGGCAAAGGTGCTGGCAAGCAGGTTGAATAGAGTGATCCAGGAAATGGTGGGGGAATCTCAGATGGCTTTTGTAGAAGGAAGGCAGATTCTGGATGGGATTTTGGTGGCTAGTGAATGCATTGATTCAAGAATTAGAAGTGGAAGACCAGGTCTGGTTTGTAAGCTGGATATAGAGAAGGCGTATGACCATGTGGAATGGTGTTTTTTGGAGGAGATACATAGATTGATGGGATATGGGGAGACTTGGAGGGGTTGGATGTATGGGTGCATTTCATCTGCGTCATTTTCTTTACTTATCAACGGGGTATCTTCAGAATTCTTTCAAGCCTCTAGGGGATTGAGACAAGGGGATCCAATCTCCCCATTGTTTGTGTTAGTAATGAAAGCTTTAAATCTGATCATGAAGAAAGGAATTTGGAGGGGCTGGAGTGAAGGATTTGAGGTTGGTACAGAAAGACCTTGTATATCCCATCTACAGTATGCTGTGACACATTAATTTTCTTAGATGTCTCAGTGAATCAAGTCTTGAATCTCAGAGCAATGCTAGCTAACTTCGAGATGCTGACCGGTCTGAAAGTGAACCTAGAGAAAAGTCTACTGATAGGAGTTGGAGAGATAAGTAGGGGGGAAATGGAACAATTTGCAGGGATGCTGGAGTGCGGAATAGGGGAGCTTCCCTTTATGTATTTAGGACTTCCAATGGTTTCAAAGGCAGCAGCAACGAGCATTTGGAAGCCTCTACTAGAAAGAGTAAAAAAGAGATTGGACAGATGGAAGTTTAAGTACCTATCTTTGGGAGGGAGAATCACACTTATAAAGAGTGTTTTGTCCAGTTTACCAACTTACTACCTTTCCTTGCTAAGAGTACCGAATGAAGTGGCTAAGAAGATTGAGAAAATTCGAAGAGTCTTCTTATGGGAAGGGGTGGGGGGAGCCAAAAAATATCTCTTGGTCAAGTGGAAGAAGGTTTGCAAGACAAAGAAGGGAGGTTTGAGGCTGAGAAGGGTCAAGGAAATGGCTGTGGAGGTTTGGGCAATGGAGGGAGAGGGAGGCTCCATGGAGGAGAGTGGTGGTGGAGAAATATGGTGTGATAAGATTCGGGTGGGAACCAAGGGAAGTGAGAAGTTCATATGGGGTGAGTGTATGGAAAGGGATAATAAGTTTCAATCAAGATTTCAGAAAGTTGGTTAAGTTTAAAGTCGGGGAAGGCTCTATAATGAGGTTCTGGAAAATGGGGGTGGCTTGAAATAGGTAAGTTAAGTGAGGTGTGCCCAAGGTTATATAAGTTAACAGAACAACAAGTCTCAATAGCCCAATGTTATGACTGGAATCTGAAATTCAGAAAGGCCTCTTCTTGATCAAGAAGTGGAAGAGTGTATTATGCTTCTGGAAAAACTAGAAGGTACCAGCATTTCTAGGGAGATAGAGGATGTTCTCTGGTGGAAATAATGTAAGGAAGGCAGATTTACAGTCAAGTCATTCTACAAAGCTCTAATGAGAGAAGAAAGGGGTACGAACCAGATAAAAGGAGTATGGGGTAATCCAATCCCCCCATGGATAGAAGCCTTCGCCTGGTTGGTGGCACATGACAGCATTCTCACCTCTAATCACCTGAAATCTAGGGGTTTTCATCTTGCCAGCTGGTGTTATATCTGCAATCAGGGGGAAGAAACAGCTCCATTTGTTCTTCTCATGTAGTATTGCAAGTTTCATATGAAAGTTCTTCTTCTTTCTATTTGGGGTGAGTGGCTTCCATCCATCGACTTCAGCAGAAATATTCTCTCTGTGGCCAAAGTTCAGAGGGTAAGAAAGCTAGGATTATTTGGAACCGTGTCCCTTTTGCAGTATGCTGGTCTATCTGGAGGGAGATAAACAAAAAAATTTTTGAGAATAGGTCGAACAACATTGAATATATGGTAGCGGCAGTGACCAAACTGATTTCAGAATGGGTTCTCTTACTTCCAGATTCGATCAAGTCTCCAAGGCAGATTTTTTGGGAAATTTTTGGAATACCCTTGAATTACAGCCTTGTATTATAGAATCCTTTTCAATTTGAAGTTTTCAGAATGTATGTGGTGTGTGAACTAGACAACCAAGGATGTTAGGATGTAGCTCTCTTTATTTTAATGAAATTATTTCTTGATTCTTCAAAAAAAACCAAAGTAAAATGATCAACAACATCATCACCATCATGAATAGCTTCCCAAAGGAAAAACAAAAACTGAAAAAAGTTTTCACCATGGTCCTCAAATATTCACTTGGAGTGTTAATTCATTTATTCTTTCAATTATCACTACTTCAGCCTAGCTCCACAAATAGAAATAGCAATATAAAGACACATGCAGTGTAATGAAATTTTTAATTATTTTTCTTTCGTCATTGTATACTATATTAACTTCCTTTTTCTCCTCATTCTCATTATCTGATACATCGTAAGACACATGCAACAACTATATAGTTGGGATGATGATGATGATTAACTTAAGTCAAAATCATAGCCTGTAATATGGTGAAGTTTCGGTAAAATTCAAAAGCTTGTTTACAATTGGTTCTTTTTTGTATCACTTGTGGGCTTATTTTTCTAGTGGTTTTGTGTATATGTGTGTGCACGTGTGCATGTGTTTTTTCTTTTTGTTCATATTAATACTCTTTATGCTTTTCTGACCAAAGAAAAAGAAAAAGAAAATGTTGAACTTCACTTTTCCTCCATAAAAATTACTTAAAATACTATAGCCTTGCGGCCCTTGCCTATATGTCTCATTTAGATGCTTGATTGACCATGTAACCTTATATTGATTTATTAATTCTTCAGCAATTTGTTTACGACATTAGTCTTTGTGTGTGCCCATATACAGTGTTTTTACCTTCTGGATTTTGACAGGTACTTTTTGTTGAATGAAAAAGGTGACAAAGTTGAGGAGCAGCTTGGGGTTGTGAGAACCAATTGTATTGATTGTTTAGATCGTACAAATGTTACCCAGGTGAGGTGAACTCATTTGTGATCTATTTTGTCTTGCATGTATGCACCTTCTTGGTTCCAGCCAATATGTTAGATATCATATAGATATTGATATTGCACTTGATACTGATGATTTCCATTGGGTAACTACCCTTATTGGAGATTTGATAAAACCTACTGGAAGTTACATGATATGTTAAAGTCCAGAATGAGCAAACCATTTTCTTGAAGTTATCTGAATCCCATACATCTTATTTTCTTGTTAATTGCTTGCTAACAGGAAATTGCAGTTTTTGTTTTTTTTTTTGTATGCTCATGGGTCATACTTGTATATTCTTATGGCTGTACACGTTTTGTTTTTCAATACAATACCTTAAAAAAATAATAAAATATTTTTAACTTAATATGTCCCTATTTTCCTGAGAGAGAGAGAGGCTTTTAAACTCAATGAACCTAACCAAAATGGCACTGTCTTGAAATTTTTGGTGTCTTTTCTCTCTCTCTCTCTCTCTTTTCTTAGTGGTGCTGATGTGTCAAGGTTTACTTCAGTCTTCACTAAACCCCAAAAGAAGAAATTGAAGTGAAGCTAGAGTTACATAAAAGCCAAGAGTGATTAAGCCACGTTTCTGTAGGTATTTGGCATATTAATGCCAAATTTTGACATGATTTAGTACTCTCGTTGCACTAGATATCCAGCAAGTTTCAGCCAAATTGGATGAGTAGAAGTACATTTTCTGGAAGGATCTTTTAGCTGTTTTTTGGAGACTGCAGTATTTTCATTGGTCAAAGTCAATTGTTTGACCAGTGGACCACACAGGGCAAATTGCTCAGGCCCTTTCTTTTGTGGTTCAAGTTTCATCAATTTTGGTTCAGCCATATAAGTCAATCTAGGCCATAAAAGTCATTAGAATGTGGTTATAAATTGAGTGTGAGCCATCTGGGGGTATTCTGAGACTTATTCATAATAATTTTAAAGTTTTAAGCATGTTCTAGTTGGTGGTGGCCAGCCTTTTTAGGGGTTTTCTTTCAAGTTTTCTCCAGAATTTACTGGTTGAGGGAGAACTTTCTTGTTACTCTTTACTGATATCTTTCAACTGGTTGCTAGTTATTATTACGTCATGCTCTATTAGTTTTTTTTTGAAGGATAAAGGAAAATTTTATTAAATTAAAAAAGAAGCAGTACATCTCAACATGATGGTTGTCAAGTTGACAAACCAAATACAGATCAACTCAAACAGGAAAAGAATCAAAACTGCAAGGATTTAGCTCCAAAGTGCCCCGGAAATTCTCTAACAGATCAGATTTGTTCACTTGGTCAAACTCTGGAAGCCTGAGAACCCAAACTGAAATCAGATTACCCACTCCTGCTATCAAACACTCGATGCTTTTATTCTTATCCTCGAACACCCTTCTATTTCTTTCTTTCCAAATGGACCAGCATACTACGAATGGGATGCAACTCCATAGGATTTTAGCTTTCGTACTTCCTCTGATTTTCGGCCATTTGGAGAAAATCTCTTCTGGAACTGAAGGGAGACTTGCATTATCTCCAAAAAGGAAGGAGAAGAACTTCCAGATGGAATCTGCCACACTACATGAAAGGAAGAGATGAAGAAATGTTTCTTCCTCCTGATTGCACATATAGCAGCAGTTTGTTGACTGTATGCCTCCTGATTGCACATACTCTATTAGTTTGTTGCTTTGTGAAAAATCTATTGGCTTTAGGTGCTGTGCCTCATGGGAACTATTTCTGGTGAAATGGCTAATTACAGTGCGTTGATAAGGTGTCTTCAAGTTCTCTGTACTCTGAGGGCATACATGCATATATTTATGAAAAAGGCTAGTTTTAGTATTGCTCGCATCACCATCGTTTTTCTCTTGTGCACCATATTTCACCTTTTGTTATTCCCATTTGCTTACATTTGGTCACTGCTTTTATTATATGCTTTTGCACTACTTGCTTTATACTTTCCATAAATTCCTGGTGATGCTTAATTGTGGTTATCAGAGCATGATTGGAAGAAGGATGTTAGAAAGCCAACTTCAACGAATAGGAGTTTTTAGTGCTGGTGAAACCATTAGCACACATCCAAATTTTGACAAAAACTTTAAACTTTGTAAGTGTATTTTTCTTATTCTTGTCCTGTTCACCTGTTTTTCTGTGGTTTTATTTAATGTTCTCTTTGCAGTTGATCATATCATCTCTACAATGTATTACTAACAGGGGTTTCCTAGGACTGTAGGAGATCTATACTTACATGTTTTCTTCTTTGTTTGTTCAGTGTGGGCTAATCATGGAGATGACATAAGCATTCAATATTCAGGAACTCCTGCATTGAAGGGAGATTTTGTTAGGTATTTGTTCTCTTTAGAGAGGGTTTCTCTTGGTTAAACTTTACCACTCACATTAGAAACTGTTACCTTGAGCTTCACAAATGAAATTTGAGATAATTTATGTGAAATGACTTTCTGAATGTCATTGATGAAAACCACTTTACAGAAGAACAATTGTAACTTTGACGAATCCAATTATAACTTTGATGAATTCAATTAGTTAATTGAAGGGGACTCTAAACTGGTAATAGGGTGGTTGAAGAAACCTGAAACTGTAATTTGGAAATACAAAGAATATATGAAAAGATTTAAGTGGCTGGTCAGAGATATGACAATTTCAGTCCAATGGGAAAGGCGGTCAGCTAATGGGATAGCTGATTTTTTTTTTTTTTCAAAACAGGGGGTACATAAGTCTGAACTATTCTGGGATCAGTTGTAATATCAGTTTATATGGCTGGGGCTGCATCTCACATCTCCGCTGGATGTACTTTGTAATCATGTGATACTTAATTATGCTGTAATAAAATTTTTATCATTTATAAAAAAAATCTAATTAGTTGGTAGGTTTATGCTGTTGACCATTTAGTGTTTTTGATTTTACAATTTTCTTAGTCAAGAAACAACATATCCAGAAAATGAGTGTGGTTGGACTTTGTCTCTGGAGATACACAAGTTATTTGATCTTTCCACGTTCAAGTGGTTGAAGAGAATGGGCAGAATTCTTTGGAAATGTGAGGGCAGCTCTGGTTTGGACTATTTGGTAAGAAAGAAAATGCTAGAATCTTCCTTGAGAAAGAAGTGTGGAAGAAGTAATGGCTTGTATGCTAACAAGGGTGATTCATTGGGTAAAAACCTTGAACATCTTCTCACAATTTTCCTTTGATGATATTTGGAGGAATTTGATCTCAGTGGCAAAAAGCTCATCAAAGAGGTAGAAGGCTTCTTCCTGTTGGTTACCACTTGAATGATTTTATTAAACTGAACTTCAATGGGAGCAGTCAAGGTAACCCAGGTCCTACTGGTCTTTGGGGGGGGGGGGTTCATAAACATAGAAGGTTGGGACCTTCAGGTGTGGGGAACTCTTCAAGAGCTGAATTCCTTGCTGTCCTTCAAGGGGTACAATTAGCAAGATGAATGAGCTTTGAAAAGCTGGTTATTGAAGGTGATGCCAAGGTGGTAATAGGATGGCTATAGCAATTGGAGGCAGTAATTTTGAATTATAGGWWGGAAATAAAAATGTTTAAATGGCTTGCTTGTAACATGACATTAAGAATTCAATGGTAAAGGAGATCGGCAAATGGTTTGGCAGACCTTTTAGCTAAACAAGGGGTTAATAGGGAAAACCTGTTCTGGGTTCAGTTGTAAACAGATTATTGTAGTTTCTTGGGGAGTTTTCACCTCGCAACTCCTGCTTCTTTGTAATTTTCTGGTCTCTAATGAAATCTTTCTGTTATCTATAAAAAAAAATGAAAAACATAAAAGAAAATGAGTGTAGCTTGGGAACCTCCTGACGAAGGCTTTATTAAGTTGAACTTTGATGGCAGCAGTCTAGGGAACCCAGGTCCGGCTGGTATAGGAGTATTCAGGAATAATGAAGGACATATTGTTTCTGTATCTCAGGTGGTCCAGTTGGATTAGGGGATTCAGTTTTTGCGGAGTTCAAAGCAGTCTTGCAAGGAGTAAAGATTGCTAGACAAATAAACTTTGACAGACTGCTCATTGAAGGAGACTCTAAATTGATAGTAGTGTTGCTGAAGGAACCAGAAACAGTGATTTGGAAGTACAAGGAATCTATGAAAAATTTCAAATTGCTGGTTTTAGATATGAAAATTTTTGTTGAAGGGGAAAGGTGGTCAGCGAATGGTGTGGCCGATTACTTTGCAAAAATGGGGGTGCATAAGTCTGAACTTTTTTTGGCTCAGTTGTAATTTGTGTTTTCTGTTTGGGTTCGCACCTTGTGTCCCTATTGGCATGTTTTGTCTTGTAAAACTTTGATGTAATCCCTTCTCTTTCTTAACAAACCTTCATCATTTATCAAAAAAAGAAAATGAGTGCGGCTGAAATGTATAAGACAGGGTGATTTAACCAGGCAGTTAATCTCAAAACCACTAAAATTGGCTGGTTTTCACTGAAACAGATTGAGGTTTAGTTCTGGTATGACCTGGTTCAATTGGCAGGTCCTGTCTAGTTCCCAAAACATTGCTCAGGTCAACTTTGGATGCTGATAATTTTTGGGGTCAGGATGAATACTTTTGGGTATGCGTTTCTTTTTTCTGTGTTTATTCTAACGTGGGTTTGCATTCTGGTTTTCTAGATATGGCAAGAGGACAATCCAAGGAATAGTGAAAGATGGATGGCATGCCCTTGCTCGATACTACCTTAATAATTTCTGTGATGGCACAAAACAGGTTTGTATAATTCGTTTACTTGTTTATATTGGATTTAGATAATGATCAGGGCTTATCACAACACGGTTGAATATTGTAATTGTACAATCATTTCTTGACCATCAATTACTTCACAACTCAAGAAGTTTCTCGTGTTCAGCACTATCTAATATTTTGACATTTTGTGCCATCTGAAACTATGTATTCCAGAGATTTTATTCATTAGTGCTGCTGTTAAATAATTAATAATCACAAGAATAATTTTATGATAGTTATCTTTGGTATATCCTCTGTGTGTTCACATTCCAGCGTCACTGATTTTTCTCCTGGGTTGTGGGTGCTAATTCACTCTGTTTCAGTGTTTTCTCTCAACCTTAAATTCATTTGTACATGGCGTTTGATGGCAGAAGGCTAGAATGCAATTTGTTGGGACAGCGTCCAGTTTCAGTGTAGCTGAGATTGATAAAATATGGAGAATGGTTTAGGGAACAAAAGGATAGTTGTCAAAGTCATACAGCCTTGAACTAGAGTCCAAAATGACTGAATGGCAGCTCATTTGGGCTCTCTGGATTTTTTACTGAACATAAATTATAGGCTATCCATGTGGGGCCCACCTCGAAAAGCCAGAAGCCGCTGTGCTTCAGCCCTCCCAAAGGAGCACTAGTTCAGGTTTTGAAGTCTTTTGAGCATTCAAGACAAAATGCACCATCATGTGTATTGATTGAACTCTACAAGTAAGAAAATAATAAAATGAAACTAGTATGTAAACTTAATTAATAATTTTAGTTTAAAATGCCTGTATTTTATTATAATCTCAGAAAAAAGAATATAAATAAGGACCATTGATCCTTATTTTTTTTTAATCAATAGGACCATTGAACCTTATTTTGAATATGTTTAGTGAATTAATACAATGTCATTGGCAAATAACAAGCATCATGGGACCTCCTCTTGAATATGTTTAGTCAATTCATCTATGATTAGTGCAAATAAATAAGAATTAAGTACTGAACATTGGTGAAGACTTGTCATAATTGTAAAATCTGATACCTATCTCACAGGTGTTCTAACATTGATTGTTGCACCTATACATATTCTTAATTAGATCAACATAGTCTATCATATGTTTTCTCTAGATCAATGAATACAATATGGAGATCCCTCTTCTTCTCTCTAAACGTTTCTATCAATCATCTCAACAGAATGCTTCCATGGTTGACTTCCCTGGCATGGGCCCAAATTGGTTCTCTGATATACTTGTTTCATGTCATAACTTCATTTTCTCTTGAAGTTTAATGTTGTGCTTGTGGCTCATGAGTTTAACCACATTGCTCTTTCTCCATTCATCCGAGATTTGCTTTTCTTTCACTACCTTGTGAAATAGTTTAGTTATAGGCATGGTTTAAAATATTTATTTCCTAATATTTCTATTTCTATGGGACGACATGAGATATTATTTGAATTGACATATTCCCCAATGTAAGCTACCAATGGTAATATAAAGTATGACAGAAGATATTTATGTGTGATTTTGTTTAGCATGGCAGACTGTTGTGCATTGATTGAACTAGTTATTTGATTTGCAGGAGAGTTTTCATCTATCCTTATTTAAGGGTTTCATTTGTTAATTTAATTGCTAAATGGATATTCAGATGCTTTTTATTTCATAATGTTGTTTTGACATGGTTTGCTGCATAAATGGTCAAGGATGCTATTGATCTTCTGCATGGGCACTATATTGTCTCTGTCAGTCGGGATATGACTTTTCTACCTCAAAGAGGAAAATATGAGGATCTAGCTGTAAGTACTCTCCATAACCCATGCAGTCATCACCTTTCAGATTTTTTTTTTCTTTTATTTTATATAAAGATTGAAGTAGGATGTGTACTATGTTTCCAATCCGTCAAAATCTACAATTTTGGTGGTTAGATGTTGGTATTTTATAATTCTCTCTGCCAGATCCTAGTTGTTCCTGATGACAGATTATGCGGGTTTAGTTTTTCAACTGGAACAACTATTTCCTATTTAGTTGCTCTCTGCAGGATCCATTCACCAATAAAGAGAAACCTAAGATGTGGATGGTACAAATGTACAAGGTTATTCCATTGGTTGACTGAAAATGTGGTTTTTCTAATAAGGATCCAGTCACTCTATGACTTGGGAGAAATTCCAAGACAAACTTTGTGTTTGTAGATGAAATATTTTCAAAGATCATATTAATGAAAAGTAGGCTTCTTTTCTCCTCTTTGAGAACAATTTCAGGGAGGTTCAGAAATTTAGCAGTTTAGGCTTGTATTGTAGGTGTCAACTGTCAAGTTTTTTCATTGGTTGTTGCTGGTAGAAGCTAAAAAGAATAAATAAGAAAACTGTCTTGACTAGGGTTATTATTTTTACAGTGGAACAGAAGCCTTCAAATTTGTTAGGCTGTAGTAATATTTATCACATTCATGTGCTTTTTTCCTTTTCTTTTTTCATGGTAATATCAATCTCTCTCTCCCCTAATGTGCCAGACTTCAACACTGAACTTTTTTATTTCTTTTTGCAGTCCCTTCCACTGGCTTTGGCATTAGTTTTTCTTGGACTTTTCTTTGCGACTATGTCTTTGAAGCAAGGTTAGTTGGCTTCTATAGGTCTCACCTATAACTCAATAGAAAATCAGATACTTATCATCATTATTGATATCCTAGATGGTAATAAATGTGGTTTGATTTTGTCTAGTTTCCCTGCGTTGGCTGAGAAAATAGTTTTCTGAAGATAGTTTATCTATATCTATATATTGTATAAATTGGTCATTGACATGTTTTCTATCTGATCCTCTCAGTTGGGTGAACTATATACTGTTGCCTGGTACTTCTTTCTGTAAGAGAAAGTAAACAAAACCAGCAGAATGCTGGATTCAGCCCAAACAGGGGATGAAAAGTGAATAAATAGGGTAAGATTGGGAGAAATACAGCCCTAAGGCTTCTTAATTGGTTATAAGAGAACCCAGCAAGAGGGTCTTCTTTATTAGAAAGAGCAAGTTTTTATTACCAAACCTATTAGGGCTATATCCTACTGTCATATTTCCTCTATTGAACCATTAAAACAATTTAGGTGACTTTTTTCTTTTTTGTTTTTCCTTTTTTTTTTATCAATAACTGAACCAATTCGTTAATGATTAAGAAGAACAAAGGTGCTTGGTGATAGAAGGGGACTCCAAAGTGGTGGTGGGTTGGCTTAGAGATACAGATTCAGTGATATGGTGCTATAAAGTTGAATTGAAGAAATTCAAATGGGCAACACAATATATGAATTTAATCATACAATGGGTGGGAAGGGAGGCTAATTCATTTGCTGATTGCTTAGCCAAACAAGGAGTAACTAGGGATCAGTTGTATTGGCCCCAATTGTGATTTTTGTGCTGTTTCTTTTCTTTTAAAGGGTGAGGTTGCACCTCACGCCTCCCGTTGGGATGCTTGTAACAGTTTTATTTTGTTGACAATGAATTCTTAGAGAAAATTTATTTATCAGAAAAAAAAAACAAAGGTACAACAAGAAACAATGAAAATAAAGGAGGGATAAGCTCTCTTAGCCCTTCCCACCAAGAACAAACTTACAATAGAGCCCAAAACAATGTATCCCTTCCCACCCCTTGTTTAGCAAGCATCAGCAAATGAGTTGGCACTTCACCTTACCCTTTGAAGCCTCACTTCCATATTCTGTGTCAGCCATCTAAATCTTCTTTTTTCATCAATATAACTCCAGAAACCATTTTCCCCTTGTTGCAGCCAAATTGATTACAAGCTTTTGGAGTCACCCTCAACAACCATCTTTTTAATATTTAGCTCTTTTGCCCTTTGTGCTCCTTCCATGACAGCCATAATCTCTTCTCTGAGTGAATCACCTATACCTATTGGCCCAGAGATTAATGCAATAACTTTTCCTTCTTCATTTCTGAATACAGCTCCAATACCTGAAGGACCTGGATTACCCTCATCACTTCATCAAAATTCAGCCTAATGAAGCCTTGCACTGGCAGGGACCAAAGAGGCCTGAAAACATCCTTAGCAGGAGCTGAATCAGCCACTTCTTTCCAATTACCAAGCAGCGCATCTGTAGATATGCCTTAAAACAGCTCCAAAGATTTTACTGACGGCAACTCTGATGGAAATAACTTCAATTAGAGCTTCTCTACTTCTTTCTTTTTCAGAAAAAAATCCTCAAGTTCCCTTCTTCCCAAATTGTCCAGCAAACAGCTGCTCTAGTACACCTCCAAAGTATCCAACCCCTCTTCTTTGGCCACCTAACAAAAGAAGAGTTAAACAAACTTTGTGTATCCGGTGGGGGAGTCCACCTAAAACCAAACAGAGAGAAACCAATCCCAAATATACAAGAGAAAGGGGCAGGAGACTTGGCTGGACCAAAATACTCATTGTCTTATATGTATTCACTTAAATTAAACTCACCAAACTACTCAGAAACATACAGCAAAGGCATAAGTCAGCAAAAAAATGGATTTTTCATGAATCTAATAGATTTTCTCCATTAGTCCATTGGAGTATTTCAACATCAATGAGAATACTTATGTTGGTCATAATAAAGGGTCCGACTATGGCCATGCTTTTTAGAGAGATTATTTGAAAGAAGGTTCCCAAGATTAAGCCCAATCAGATAATATTCTAGATGTTTGGTATGCTTTGTAATTTTTGTTTTTTTTTTTATTTTTTCTTTTTTATGATAACTTAGCTTTTGTCTATAAAAGACCATGTACTTTCCATTTGTTTTTCAGTGAATGAATATTTTGAAATTTGCGTATGTAACTTTGTTGTGGTTTGAGAAGTGACCCTTCTGCTGGTGAAATTCCACTCTCCTCTTCTCTTGGTTAGGAAGACTCTAAGCAGAGTGTTGGAACTTAACAGTGAGATTTTCGTAGTTCTCTCTCTTTATTCTCTATCTTCATTTTCCTTTCTGGGTACAGATTTCCGTACCTTTTCTTTCAAATCAAACACAGCCATAAAGCACCTTCTTATCTATTGACACTTTTCACCACCTTGGAGATCATGCCTGTGTTGCAATGTTTTCTCTGGTTCATTGCTGGCACCACTGGTTTTGTTCAACATCCATATTGATTGCCTTGCATTGTCTTTCCTTAACATCTAAGCACCTTCTATGATGTCCATGTTTTCCTAACATGCTGATTAACAAGTTTTATTGTCTTTTCATCTTCAAAGCCCTTAAAAAGCATATAAATTTGGCACATAACTATGGGGCCAACCAACTTCCATTTTTCTTATCTGTATTCATTTTTCCTATCTTCAGTTGGGCATGATATTCACAATTTATTCTTTTCTCTTCTCTGGGCGAGCCTGAGTTTGTCCATATTAGCATTTGTGCGAGCCAATGGTCGGTTCTTCTGCAACCGCCCTCGTTTGAACAGGCCACTATGATGATGACAGATTAAAGGACCTTTTGGTTTGTGATATATTTTGCCTTATTGCAGTTGCATTTCATTGTATTTATTCAACATTATTTCTGTAACCTTGATTTGCTTGATGCACCCATTGGCTATTTCCGAGGCGATAACCTATTTGGTAGTTTATGTTGGTTTGGGAATTTTCACCCAGTTGTAACTACAGAAATAAAAGAATACTTACTGTGCCATTTTTGACTGCATAGTTTATAGTTATGGTATCACTCAGTTGGCTTTGGGGTAGGTTTTTGTGAGTAGTGAGTACCCACATCCATTTGAAGCTATATGTACCTGTATGGACTATGGAGTTCACTCTTTTGAAGCCTCACCACTGGTGAGGGGTTCAAAGGGATTCCATGTGCGTCGTTGAAGGACATTTTGATTGATATTGGGCACCACTTCTAATTAATCTAGACTGCTTTTTCATTCTATTGTATTTTTTGAAAAGTACTGAGAAACAGCATAGGTTGTCTCTAGTTGCAATGTAAAATGCAGATTTTGATGATTTCCTTTGAAAAAATATTGTTCAGTTTTCGTAACTATTTGTTTTCCACGGCCGATTCTGTGCAACCAAAATACTGCAAGTTGGCGTTTTTCATAGATCCCTTTCTTTTCTTTTCTTTTCTTTTTGTTTGTGCAAACACCATGAATTTATGATGGCTCGGCTATTTGGGGATTTGAAATAATGAGCCGAATTTCAATTGCTTTAGATAAAAAATTCAAAATGCTGTGCTGGACTATTTAATACAAGAAGACTTGATAACAAAAGAAAAAAGAAAGACTAATAAAGGTTTACTTTTCTTCATGTTTATTGACAATCAAAACACCAACAAATTGATATTTTCCAAAACATTATGACACGGGTTGGATTATGATACCGAAAGACATGATATTGGAAAAACTTGTAACCAATCAATAGGCATCATACAAGTTGTAACCGATCATAGTATTCATCAAAATCCAGGAGGGGGTTTTGATTGGTCAAAGCTCTCAGTATTATACCTCTCAGCCAAGGTTTGAAATTTGGATATATATCAAGCCATATCGGGGGTTTCCCAATATGCGGGTGTTTCAGGGTTTAACCTGCTTCAGGGGGGTACATAGGTCTTAAATCGATCTCTCTGAATCAGGTTTAAAAAAAACTAAAAAAATAGGAAAAATCGGCTTTGATACAGGCCATGCCAGAGGGTCCTTACAAAATTTTCGAAGCCTGTCATAGTTTCTACCTCAAAACTTACTTAAAAGACAACCAAATATAAAAGCGGAATAACTCATTACTAGGCTCAATTGGATGAAGCTTTTCAAGAAGATGCCTGGATCGCATACGGAGGCCAGTAGAGATGGAATTCGATTTTGTAAACAACTGTTTGTCCCTTGAGATCTACTGGCGATGATGTCACATATCCTTGAACAAACATGAAGTCACCAGTGCCCCCGACGACTGGGTGGTCCGAAGGCTTGATGTTATGCGTACCCCCCAAAATAGACAGTGACCCCTTGTAGTTCTTCATACTCAGAGTGATCTTAGCAATCGATATGCTCCGAAGGCCATCAAGGGATGAAGTAATGGAGGTGCCTTCGGCGATCCCTACGACTTTAGAGGATCGGTTTGCTGTTACAGTCATAGGATCCTGGAAGGTGAATATGGTGCCAAAAGGTGTGGTGGTCTGACTGATACCAGGTCCAGCCACTCCATTCACGATGACGTATCCAGTCTTGTTGATCGTCTCTTGTTGATAGAGAGAGAAGTGGAGGGTTTTAAGTCCGTGGTGGTGGTGGTGGTGGTGGTGGGTGGTAGATGCCACCTTGTATGGGATGAGGAAGAGAACGGGAACGATAAAGAATAGAGATTGCAGAGAGTTGGCCATTGACAATGAATATATTGTTTTGATAGGGTTACAATTCTGAGTGTGATTTATAGACCCAATGACAGTACCACAACGGCATAGACTCGTAAAGAGGTTCTCTCTCCTTGTAGGTGGCTGTGGTTGGATCCATCAGTCGTGATCTTCCAGAAGAAGGCAGTTGACTGGCGAGGTTAATTAGAAAAATGGTTGTCATGGTGGAACGTCGAGTAACACAATAAAAAAGTTGCGGTATTTACTTCAAGTCTGCAATGAGTCCAGTCTTTGTTAGTTGGTCGTGTGTGAGGACTTTACCTGGTAAGAAACGTGACCAAAAAAGTATGCTACTTTGAAATATGGATCCAATGAAGAAACGTGAGCTCGACCTGCTGATTGTCTGTGAAGACCAAGAAAATATAGAATGAATGGTAACTTGATTTTCAGGTTCGTTGTTGTTGTTGTTGGAATTGCCCAGCAGCACAGGAAAGCGCTGGGTGCGTTCTACTTTCATTTCACACCTGGGTTAGGTGTATGTATTAACTAATCTCTTGCCCATTTTTTTGGTTCCACCCCCGTTTTGTGTGGTTGCCATTGAACCACTTTTCGGTGTTAATTGGTGTTAGTTGGCATTAATTTTCCCTGTCGGGTTTGCAAGGTGACCCATTCTTTCCCATATTAAGTGGGTCCATTTGCTGCTTGCAAGGCTTGTATAATAACGGGCTATGTATCCAATCACGAGTGAATACCTCTACCAAGACCCACCATGAATATAGAATCTAGATATTTTGACATAGTGAGGCTATAGGCATCGGGTTGAATCTGTAAGAAATAAACCGAACGTACTGCAATGGGCAGAAGTGTACCCATTCTTTCCATAGGTCCATTTTCTTTGATGGCACGGCTTTGACAACTTTAAGACTGAAAACAAGTGATTTTCTTAGGTTTAGTTGACAAGAGAAACCAAAACAGAAAAGAAAGCAATGAAAAAAAATCGGGTTATTAGCTGACGTTACCCTTGACTTTTCAAATGTTTTTTTTTTTTTTTAATACCTCTAAAGCTTCTTTTATCAAATATTTGCTTATATTTAGAGTTAACTTTTACAATCTGCAATTCTGCATCAAAACCCAGGTATATGATATAGAATTATAAATAGATAGAATAGCTTTTACAATATTACAATGATGCCCTGTTTACTTCTATTCTTTATATCAAACTTGTGAAAAATGGGTCCATCCATTCACTTGAATTCAACTGCTGGTGGGTTGTGAGATGAGTGATCAAAAAATAAAGCAGGGGTATTCTCATCACATAAAAATTAGTCGGTTGGTTTAGTTTTCTCATTAAAAATAATAATGACATATATATGGACCACTTCTGTGATCGTGTTGTACCAATGATGTTGTCCTAATAAAAAATGACTTCATTTTAATATGCAGTTGTGAACTTGTTAATTGTGATCATTACTTGGCGTGAGTCACGCATGCTTCATTAATTGATTATTATTATTATTATTATTATTATTATTATTTTGGTATTGATTATATTTATCCGTGGTTGCAATTACATGTTCTCTGCCCACAAGAACTCTATTCACACATTATTATAATCACACATTTAAGAACATTTTAGATATTTATAGGTTATTCTTCATGGGGAGATATTCTCATTGTACAACTGTAATATCCTGTGGGTAGGATTCTTGTATGCAGGAGAGGAGATCTAGATTGTTATATAATTTCAGACTCTCTATGACAAGATCAATGGACCTTAGGTGCACCTTGTTCTGTCCCAACCCCCTCTTAAGTCTTAATCCCTTATACATAGATCAAAATTATTACCAGATGACTGGTTTGACTGATGAAAAAAGAAATCTAAAAAGATTTTAGATTTAAACATTTGTCATCAGTATTTATGCAACAGTAGGTGCCTACCTACAGATTTTTTGCCCACAAAAGAATCCAATGCATAACCTGCCCACTACTCTCTACCCGTCTTGAATTGCAATCATGCTAGGGGTGGATTCGAGCCGAGCCGAGCCGAATAGTATTAGATTCGAGCTTGGTTTGGCTCGTTTTATATTTTATAAAAATAAAAATTATATATAATTTTTTTATTTTATATTTAAAAAATTAAGAATTATAATAATTAATAATTATAATACGGCTCGGCTCGCAAGCCTCACGAGCCGAGCTCTAGTAGGCTGAGCTCAGCTCGTTTAATAATCGAGCCACTGACTTGGGCTCGAGTTCAAGCTCGAATTCGACTGAAATCAAGTCGAATTGAGCTTTTCATGAACCGAGCTCGAACAGCTCATGAAAAGCTTAACTCGTTGCCACCCCTAAATCATGCATTGTCATCTTTGTATTGTAAGATGTGCAGCTGTAGTGTATCATAGGTAGATGTGGGTAGAGAAAATGAGTAGGAAATCTGGATTCACCTATAGGTTTCTTTGCCTAATTATTCAGTTTGATGGGGCTTTCAAATATGATCCTGCTGCTGCTGCATGTGTTGCGGTGGGTCCTCCCTCCCCAAATAAATAAATAAAAAATAAAACTTGAACCGAAATGTTAAGATCACTCTCTAACGCTTCTCCAACTCTCAAAGTAAAAAATGTTTATTTTTTCTTTTAAAAAACACTATAATAAGCCCAAACCTTCTCCTCCCATATCTTTCAAAACCCTACTTCTTATACTTCTTATTTCATTTTTTCTAGCTAGTAGCTATATCAGTTTTTTTTTTTTTTCCCAACTTAGCTCATCTAAGTAGTCTTGGGTTGGACCGAGCTCAAATCGACACAAACTCAAATAAAGTATGTCAACAAAGTAATTTGTTAGACTTTATGTATCAGTAATCAATAATCTGTGCTTGTTTTTCGATTTTTTTACAATGAAAATTTTGTTTTACTTCATCATTCATTTACACCAAAACATGGAAGAGATGGCAATCAAACACCTTCATTATAAAAACGAATGGAAATAATAGCTGAAACGTTTCAATTCAGTCTTGAAAGTTTATACATCCACAACAGCCATAAAATAATATCCACACGTGAAAACACAATGAAACGAAGTGATCAATATCAAAATCAAACCCATACTCTCATATTTTGTGAGTCTAAGATTTTATCATTGCACCCTTAAGCTGAGCACTGTGTGAGTTTATATTTAAAATGCGGGCACTACTAGACAACACACACAATTAGTGGGTCAATTTGCAAACTTTTCTTATTAGGAATAGGAGTGTAATCGAACTAACTATGTCCAGTTGAGTATTGGGGTTATTTGAGCTTGACTCTATTCAAAAACTCGAAGCTTGAAACTGTATTCAAGCTCAATACATGATATTTGAAAGTATAATTTGAGCATATTATTAATATTATAAATAAAAGTATACTTTGAAACTTGATTATAAATTATTTTATTTATATTATAAATAGAAATAAGGTTCTTCTATGATACAGAAATACATGATATTTGAAAAACTTGTGACCAATCAACAGGCATCATAAATGTGATAGACAATCGGGTGTTATTTATCAAAATTTACAGGTGCATTTTGATTAGTCAGAACTTTTCTGATATCATATCTTTCCAGCATCATAGATTTTCCCATAGATGAATGTTTTATCATAAGTTTGACTACTCAAGCCAACAAGTATTGCAAAGCTTGAACCCAATTTGATTAATTATTTACGCTTGACTTGAACTCAATTATCTTTAAAACAAGATCGAGTATTTAGCGAAGTGAGCTGGAGTAGCTTGATTCACTTACACCCCTAATTGGAGAGATGCAAGGTTCAAAATATCATTATGTATCGGCCGATATGTATCATATTGGGGCCTTCCCAATACAGCCCTACAGAGGGTGTATCGGATCAGGCCATGGTTCAGAGGATAGCCAGGATATAAACCGATTCCTCTGAACCGATTTAAAAAAATAAATAAATAAAACATAAAAAAAAATACCAATACAGACCAAAACGCCCTACCAGCGTATTGGCCTATATCGATATTTAGAACCTTGGAGAGATATCCGTTAGTAAGTCGGGGGAGTGTCCCCAAAACAAAACAGAATAGCCTTTGGAGAGGCCGAATGGATATATCTGCTGATGGTGGGATGATGAGGTCCTAATAATGCGTCCCCTAATCGTCTGACGAAGGTATCACATTTTTAAAAGATGATGAAATGCCGATGCCACCAACACAATTCACCATTGGCGCAGAGAACATTGATGATGGATTCCCCCCAGTCCCAGAGCTGGGTTTTGAATCGCAATCACAGGCGTGGCTAGCTCTTTGAATTAGTGTCGCAAGTGGGCTACTGGTACTGGCTGATTTCATTCATGCCTCCCTTGCTATCTAATTCCTAATTGTTCTGTCAGTCCATATATTATTAAGTCAATTCCAAACTTCATCAGCAAACAAACTTTCAAGGGTGTTGGCATCCCCCATCCCCATCCTGTAATATGTCATATCAAGTGATTGATGGCGATATAATCAATATATAATGAACCGCAGTACCACCAGTAGAAGGAGAATTTCAATTTTGGCTAATTAAACAAATTTAAATAACTGACTGCATCTATGGATTGTCCCTGCTCATATTACCAGCGGATCTGTCAACGTTATTGCGGTGTGGGTGGTTGTGACTTGTGACTTGTAATAATCTCTTCACTTGCAATTCACCCACCCAACTGGCAAACTAATTAATAAAATAAGGCCATTCAACTGAACTTATCATTTTTTTAATATTATATATATATATATATATATATATATCTGTCACTAGTCACACTATTTTTTAGTTAATCAATTAGATTATTCAGCTGCTTGTTTTCGAGATTGGCATCACGATGATCGAATTGGACAGCAATTTAGTGGCACAATCTACCACATGAAATAGAGAATGTAAGAATTGGTTAGAATGTCTTACAAGCAAAAGGAACATGGTATGGTAATTGGTAGGGTTGTGTGACGAGGGATTGTTTCTATCATTTCATGAGTGTCTTTTTCACCGTAAAGACTCTTTTGAGAATTACTCCACCATGTAGATTAATTAATAAGTTTCAGTCCCTAACAAATCATAAGGGCTGGTGCTTT